CGAGAATCTTGGCGTTGGCGTTTGCACCCGATGGACGCATGGGCAGATGGACGCATAGGCTTGGATGGAATCCCCCCTGCAACGTCCAGCGAGAACGGCACCGACACACTCAGAGTCGTCGATCCGTCAGGAGCAACTCTGGTTATCTTTTGCACGAATAGATCTCGGCATCTCCGATCTCGCGTTCGGATCAGCAGGAGCTTTCCTGGCACCTGGCGATGCGAGCCTGCAATGGCGGCAGCTGGCCGACCTGACGGAATGACGGACAGAAGTCGGATCATAAGACGGCCGTGTAGACTGTTTGCTCTGAACAAAACCTTGCGTTTCGTTCAAATTCGCCGCTCACAAGGACTATGAGCAGCATGACGTTATGAGCTGTGGGAAGCAGCATGACGTTATGAGCTGTGGGAAGCAGCATGAATAATGATTACTTTAATTACTCAAGCATCCGAATGCATTCTAAGCCTTTCAGGTCTACAGACATGAAGCGCCTACGCCTACCACATTTTTTTCCCATTCACGGGCATAGTTCCGACCCCAACATGGTAATCAAATCACTTGATCTTGGTCAGGATTGTTCCTACCTTGAAGCAAATTATTCGTCAAAAAGCATGTCTGGTAAACCCAACAATCAGAAAAGGGTTCAACGCCGAACATGAATTCCGCTTTCCAAATTGAAGCTAGATAATCTATGATTTGAACCTTAACCCCTCGCAGCCTTCCATATCTTTATCAACGGCCCATCGACACCATACAAAGGATCCATCCTCGGCAAACCGACCCCCTCGACCTCTTCGACAAGACCCTGCTTCTCCTGTAATGGCTTTCTCCCCATCTCACTTCGCCACTGCGGAGATTCCTCAGGATACACTCCAACATATCGATACTCCTTCTCCCCCGGTGCCGCCTTCTCATCAGCGACGGAAGCATGCGCCACACCGGCCGGTACGACAACAACATCGCCGGGTCGCACCCAGCACCGCACGCCGCTGCCGGCGGGGTCAGAGCCGCCCTCGCCGAAGACGAGCTCAGAACGGCCTTGGAAAATGCCTGGATGTAAGTCAGTAAGAGAGATCCCGAATGCGTCTAGACAGAATGATGAATGGTTACCGTAACATTCGTGAGTATTGGGATGGAAGTGTTTCAACGTGATCGTTCCCCAAGTCCCCTGCGCAAAACAACCACCTCATCAGTTGAAGGTAGATAAGTAGAAGATCTAGATGACCGACTTTCTTCACCCACCCGTACTGCTGCAACTTCTCTGATACCTCATCCTCATCCAGCTCGTCGCCAGTGCCCAACACTCCACGATACACTAGCACAGGGAAGTCGCTATTGGGGCAGTGTTCCGTGCGCTTCACCAAATACGTTTCCGGCTGGATCTGCTCTCCATCGGTGGTCGTCATATTGGTGGTCGGCTCAGGTGGGATGGATGTCGTCTCCAAATAAACGGGCGGCTGCATTTCTGTTCCCGTGGCCATCGTTTTATCCGCCAACACGTCTGGCAATCAGGTCCCTTTCAGGAAGCTCCAGGCGGGCAGAAGACCTGCGTCATCTTTTTGCCCAAATGATCTTGGCTAAACTGCTGGGTGGGTGTGGTCAAGCGATGATTGACTGCAGGCCAGTGTGGGAGGTACGACGAGTTATCTCCGAACACTCGGAAGTCGACAAGCCAGCTCCGACGATCCCCTCCCATAGCCGCCTTTTGCCTCTCACATATCTGATATTGGTATCTTAAGTTCAAATACTTACAACATCGCCAAACAACTTCTTTATTCCTCATCTTCATCTCCCGCCACAGCACCCTCCTTAACAGGCGCCTTCGCCTCCTGCTTCCTCCACAACCCAGCCAGAAACTCATTTGTGCTCGCCTCTTCGAGCCCCTTGTCCTCCCTCTTCTTCAAAAACCTCGGAAACCGCAGACTCAATCCGCGGTCCTCGCTCACCAGCCCAATAGCAGCTGTGTACGTTGGGCTCAACGTCACATCCGCAAACGCCATCTCCCATACCTCCTGCGGCTCGAACCACACATCCGGCTCCGGGCCAGAGTACTCCACGAACGCAGGCTTCTGCCCCCGAGTGTTGCGCCCCTCCCCCGTCGCCTCGCCGTCGTCGTAAAAGTCCCGGTTTGCCTTGTAGAAGGCGTCGGTGAAGCCCGACATACACTTGCACACCACCTCGAGGGACCCCGTGTCCTCGTTGCGCACAGCCATGAGGATCGGCGACCACCACTTGGCCTTGCGGCCCTGGCCGTGCCAGCCCGCGACGGGGATCATGTCGAGCGTGTCGAAGCTCGAGCTGTAGTCCTTCTTGACCTTGAGCCACGAGTCGAGGCGCTTGTCGGGCTCGTAAGTTGCGAGCAAAGGCTTGCGGCGGCCCTTTTTCTTGGGGGCTTCTTCGTCCTTGGCACTTTTCCCTCGCTTCGTTTTGGAGGGTGTTTTGGGTTCCTCGGCTGTCTCTCCGTCGGCTTCGGCGGCATCGTCGCCTTGATACGGGATGTCTGTCAGGTTATCCAGGATCTTGACCATGATGCCCTCGCATTTGATGTCTGTCGCTTGTTTGAAGAAATCCAGGACGGCGTCGGAATCCTGCGATGTAGCATCCAAATTCTTGACCCAAGTGAACTGGTGTGGAACCTCGATGAACATGGAGCGGAGAAGCTCTCTCCTCTCCCGGAATGGTCTGTCCAGCAGGGGCTGCCCGTTCAGGAACATGAGGTCGAACGCAAACATGCACACATCGACCTGGATGCTGCCAATCGCTACATCTTTGCGAGCGCGGTTCGTGAGTGTCTGGAAGTTTTTCAAGTCTCCAGTTTCTCTATCCACTGCCACAACTTCGCCCTCCATGATGAAGCTGTCCACCCCTTCGCCGCGGATCTTGGGCATCAACGCGACCAAGTCGGGGTATTTGTCGGTCATGAGTTCTAGGTGCCGCGAAAAGATGGTGACCTTCCCCTTCTCATCGCAATGAATTTGTGCGCGCTGGCCATCATACTTGAACTCGCATGCGAAGTCTCTCCCTTGCAGCTTGGTGAGCATTTCCGAGAGGTCTCTTGTGATGCTGCCCAACATGGGTCGTAAAGGAATGTGCAGTGTCAGGCCGCAGCGGATCAGAAGTTCGTCGCAGACACCAATCTCTAGCAAAACCGGGACGAGATCGTTGTAATTTGGCCGCCGCGCAAAGCATGCCTTGACGATTTCTTCTGCCTTGCTCCATACCTCGGCCAACTCATCCTTTTTCAGTTTCTGCAAGTCTTTCGCAGACCGCAGAGGAAATTCTGCTCCTGCAGGACGCGAGAGTAGGAAAGCTCTTGAAAGGGCGATCAGCATAGTCGTCTTCACAGCGCCAATTCGTAGCTGAGGGTCGTGTTAGTTTTGAGGACGTTTGTGAAGAAAGGCTTTACTCACATGCTGGCACAGAGTCCGCACAATGTACCTGCTCTCTTCGCCACCCCGCGCATCTTGAAGCAATCTATCAACGATTCTCTGCTTGGCCTCACCACTGCCCTGCCCTTGACTATTTGCGATCTTAACCAAGGACTGGTAGACAGCCTGAATTGTTAACGGCTTCGGCTTACGCAGTGTGAAGCTTTGTTTCTTCTTCGCCTCAAACGCTACGTCGCCCGCGTCGCCATACTTGTCGTATATTGTCTTCAAAGCCCGACCGTCTAAGCCACACACCTGCTTTAGTGCCTTAGATATTGCCGACCCACCCAGACCCAATTCCAAAGAGATGTAAGGAGGTGAAATGGCATTTGTCGCTAGCCAAACCGCCGGAAGAAGACTGTCTGGATCTGCTTCGATCAGAACCCGGATGGAGTTGACCAAGGTGTCGACGATCTTAATCCGGCTTTGCGTGCCGTTCACTAACACGAAGCATCTTGTCAGGAATGCGTAAGATGCATGGCCTCCTTCAGACGCCCACTGCTCCTTGAGCTGAGGGGTAAACTCTGATGGGTCAAACGTCAGAGGACTTTGATCTAGGGGAATCGTCGCTGATGCGGTGTCTTCCGCGTTGGCTACCGAAGACAGTGACAGAGTGTTCTTCTTGGGCGCCTGCGGTAGCACGACAGCTGGCTTGGACGGTTCGGCGACAGCTGATGGTACTTCCTGAGCTTTAGATGCCTCTACTGGAGTAGACTCTTTTGCAGGCTCAGGATATGGCGTTGAGGCAGCTCTCTCATTCTGGACTTCGGCATCCCACTCGGCTTGCAATTTCCGTGCAAGCTCCTCATCCGTCAACTCCGAATTCTCCCCATTCACTGAGTGGTTGTTCGGCGTGGCCTCTGATGTATCCTTTGGTGTTGCTTTAGGCTTGGTGCTGCCATTCTGCCTCTGTTTTGAAAAGAAGTACTCTAGTCCCCTCGACGGCACTCCGGATGAAGATTGGTCGTTGAGCTTCCGCTTCTTGGATGGGCTGGGCATGGCGGCGAGATCAACGGGGAAAGGCCGTTGCAAAGATCATACCGTTTGAAGTAACGAATGAGGTTGCTCAGCTCAGACAAGATCTTGAGTTAATAAAGAATCGGAAACGGCGTCATTTCTTGTCGATAAACAAGTCACTTTAGGGTCGGCATTTACAACAGCTCCGTCCTCGTCCCCTGCACGCCCAGCGCCTCAGTCAATGACGCTGCACCAGCCATCCAAACAAAGAAGGCCCAAGCTCCCGAAAGAGGTCTTAGTCATCAGGGACAGGTGGGTCTCCGGGAGGACCCGGCGATACCTCTTTTCCGTCGCCGGCGCTAAGCCCCTTCCATCAAGCGACTTTCACACAACTTGAGAAATCTTTCCCTGCCGCTGCTGTGTGCGCGCGCGTGTGTGTGGCCAGCCAAACAGCGAAAAAGAGTGCAGCCCCACCAAGGCGGTTTTCTCTCACGAAGCCCGCCCCCCCTCCACGTCGTGAACGAACCTCGAATCCGACCTCGACCTACACCTCACACCCCCGTGATACCCCCCGCCCACCACAACCACATCTCCCCCCCTTCAGAACCAGCAGCCATGTTGAACGGCGAAGATCCGCCCGAGCGGCCCGACTACATTGTCAACATCATCAATGGCCTCGAGCGTTACAACCCCGAGGCCGTCGTCACCCTCGAGGCCTACCTCCAGGAGCAGTGCGAGCAGAAGACCAGTGACTGCAATGCCAACCGCACACTCCTGAAGCTGTGAGTCTGCTCCCTTTTTCCGTCCTCGTTGTCGTTGGCCCCCTTTTAGCCTCCGAACCGAAACAACCAAGTCTCTTCTACTCTTGCCCAATCTTGTTGGTCTTGCGCCGGTTTACATGATGACCATAAACGTTTCCTATTACCTGACATTGCGCCGGTCCGGCTTCCGTCATGAACCGACCAAACGTCGCAAATGAAGTCAAACCGTGGTGATACCTGAACGAACACCGGAAAACAACCTTCATGTTCATCAGCACCTTTTCGAATCCGACCATCGGCTAACAAAGTCCCCCTTCTCTCTGCCAACAGGTACCAGCTCAACCCCGACCGCATCAAGGACGAGGTCGTCACCAACATCCTCGTCAAGGCCATGACCCAGTTCCCCTCCCCCCAGTTCACCCTGGCCCTCCACCTCATCAACGCCTCCGCCGCCGCCCAGGGCGAGCTCCACGAGGCTGTCACCAAGCTGCGCACCCTCAACTCCCAGCTCGAGGGCGCCCAGTACGCCCGCTTCTGGAACACCATCGACGGCGACGACCTCTGCGCAGACCTCATCGCCGACATCTCCGGCTTCGAGGACCTCATCCGCGCAAACATCGCCGGCCAGGTCTCCCAGGCCTTCCGCGAGGTCTCCCTCTCCCAGCTCGAGTCCTGGCTCGGCCTCAGCGCCGACGCCACCGCCAAGTTCGCCTCCGAGGTCGCCGGCTGGACCGTCGGTGACAACGGCATTGTTTCCATCCCCCGCAACGCCGAGAACGAGGCCAAGAAGGCCGAGATCAGGGAGGACGTCAACGTTGACATGTTCTCGAGGGTTCTCCGCAGATCATGGGAGGAGACGGCTTAAGAATAAAAAAGGTTTGAGGGCCAAAAGTTCTGGATGTTGTGGGCGAGAGGATGAATCAATTCTGCTTTCTCAAGGAGAGAAAGAGAGAAGAAAAGAGGTACCCTTGGCTGCTTGACGGCTCCGTTAATGGAGTTCAGGGCTGGAAGAGAAGCATGGCGGCAAAATTACCGGCGTTCATTGTGACTTTGGAATTGGGAGAGCCATAGAGGATATCCCCGAATATGAGACATGCCACAAAGAAGATCTGTCTAAGAGTGTCGTATGATGTTGTTCACTGCCACGTGTCTATAAACAATGCTTTTCCCATCCCCCGTTGTGTTACATCACGCCTCAAACCAAACGCTCATCGCTTCGCGAGCTCCTCCCACTGCACACCACACCACTCCTCAAGATACCCCGCCTCGCCCGCCTCAACCCCCCTCTCCTGGCAATCCGCCTCGCACACCCCGACAATAACAGTGCCCCAATCCATGCCCTCCAGCGAGACCTCCTCCGCCTCCAGCTCCGCGATCGCGTTCGGCGTCATCTGCACCTCAAACACCCTGCCCGCGCCGCAGTTCCCGCACCGCGGCATCCGGCCCCCGCTCGCCGTCAGCGCCTTCCCCACGGCGTCCGCCTTGGAGTACAGCAGCGGCGCGCCGCCGAACTCGTACCGGATCGCCTGCTCCGGGTTCTGCGCCATGCGGTCCGCGAACTTCTGGAAGACCGCGTCCATCGACGACTCGAACACGTCCTTGGTGTCCATCGCGCCGCTGCTGCCGCCCGGCCCGTCCGTGTCGACCTCCATCCGCGCGTTCGGCGGGATCGCCGCCGGCTCCGGGTCGAGCGTCTCGAACTCCGCGTCCGCGAGGTAGGACAGGCGGTACGGCTTCGGCTGCGCGGCGGCCTCGGGCCAGGGCTCCGGGGCGGGCGGCGGGCCCGACGGCGTTTGCGGGTTGTTCAGGGAGAGCGTCTCGGCGAAGGTCTTGGGGAGGTCGTCTGCGGCCGTGTCTGCGGGCTTCTTCGTCTCGGCGGGCTTGGAGAAGGGGTTGGATGCCGGCGCGGCGGTGCTGAACGGGCTGCTGCTGGACGAGCCCGTGCTGAAGGGGTTCGCGCTGCTGGCGAAGGGGTTCGCTCCGGCAGAGCCACCAGCGCTGCCGCCGAACAGCGCTCTGCCGAGGCCTGGACCGGCCTCCTTCTTGGGCTCTTCTTCCTCCTTCCGCGGGGCCTCCTTCTGCGCGGGGGCGGCCTTCTTGGCGGCGACGGCGGGGGCGTCCTTTGAAATCCTGACGCCCCTGACGGCGCGGATGCTGCCCTGCTTGCGGCGGCAGGTAGGCTTGCGGCAGGCGAAGACGTAGAGGCGGCGCTCGTGGCCGGGGAACTTTTCGGGCAGCTCACCGTTGAGCTGGAGGAGCTGGACCATGATGTCGTTACAGACCTTGCAGCGCGCGAGCGCCGCGGAGGCGGGTTGCTCTGGGTTCAGCCATTCCTGTGGAAGAAGCAGTGTCAGTTTAAGATGTGGTTTTTGGAGGGGCATCAGAGGGGTTGCGATTAGGACTTACGGGGCGTCCGCCGAGGCGACTGATGGTATCTTCGTCAGCATCACTTGTGGCGTATCCGAGTAGAACATTAGTCTCGGTGAATTCCTCCTGCGAGGAATCGCTGTCGTAGTCTGCCATCTTATTTCTTTGGGTGCGCGTAAGTGACTTTTGGACTGCTGAGTTGGGCTGCTGCCGTACGTGGGGTCAAGAATTTTTGGCCGTCGAAAATGTTCGATGCGGGGCTTATCTTATCGCATCTGTAGCGGGCGAGGGGTCAACAACGTCCCAAGCTAAGGTAGCCTCACTCATGGACCGCTTCAACGAATAAAGCAGGCATTGCACGCTACAATTCTCATGGCTTGTTCGTAAATGGATAGCATTCCAGTTCTCAGCTTTTGATAGGTCTAAGAGCAATGCCTTTTGTCTACCGTGCCAATACTTTACATCGAAAATCCGGTGAACCCATCACTCCTCAGGTCCGTCCATACCGGGGCCTGGGCCGCCTTGTCTGCCCATCTGTCTCGCCTTCAGCAACTCGTCGCACAGCAGCAGGTTGGAGGCAATGCTGGAGCTGGAGGCGATGCAGTTTCTCAGCACCCTGAAAGAGTCGAAGATTCCCTCAAGCTCGGGGTCCATCGGCTCACCCGTTGCGAGGTCCAAACCCACAACGTTGCCATCGGCGTGCTCATCTTGCATGGCAGCGACTGCAATGTGTTAGTTCAAGCGTAATAACAGACAGACAAAAATACTTACGGGCATCCTGGATGTCAAGACCAGCGTTAGCAGCCAGGGTCTTGGGAATGATGAGCAGGGCATCGGCGAATGCCTCAACACCCCACTTAGCCTTGCCCTTCACCGTCTTGGAGAAGGCATCGCTCTTCAGGTGCGCCGCGCAGGCCACCTGGAAAGCGCCTGCACCGGGTACAACGCTCTTGTCAACAATCATGTTGTAGACGCTGCGCAGACCGTCACGGACGGCATCGGTAACCTGGGTAATGGTGTGTGCGTTGGGGCCCTTGATGAGAAGGGTAACGGACTTGGGGTCCTTGACCTCCTCGATAAAGGTGTACTTCTCCTCGCCCAAGGTCTGCTCGTAGACGAGACCGGCCCATCCGAGGACATCGGGTGACAGGTCCTCGACACTGTTCTGTGCAACACCACCGCAGATGAGCTGCAGTCTCTCCATGTTTCTCCTCTTGGCGCGACGCAGGGCAAGGATGCCGTTCTTGGCCAGGACATCCAGAGACAGGGGGTCGATACCCTTCTGGTTGACGATAACAAAGTTCTTGTTGGGGTCGTTTCCGCAAACCTCCTTCTTGAGCTCGACAATCTTCTTCAGCTTGGCGTCGACGAATCGGCGCTCGCTCTCCACCAGCTTGTCCCTTTGCTCCGCGCTGGAGTAGAAGAATCCAGAGTTGATCTCGGTCTTCTCATACTCCAAGCTCACGTTCATCGTCAGGATGTAGGCGTTCTCGACGCGCTTCGGCATGTCGGGGTGGCGGGCGCCGTGGTCCAGAGCCAGACCCTTGATAAGCTGGGTGTCGGAGGCGGTACGGTGCTGCATCTTCATAATCTCAACCATGTGCAAGTCGGGCTTGGCGGGGGCCTGGTAGATGGCGAGCACGGCGTCGACGATATCGGGGGTGAGCTTGGCAGCGAGGCCAGAGTTGAGCTTCGTAGACAGCGATGTGCGGGCGACGGAAAGGAGCAACTCGCGGTCGACCTCCTTGGCGAGCTTGAAGCCATCGAGGAACTGTATGTCTAGTTAGTTCCGCATTCTCTGCGTCGTGCCATCTGCGAAAGACGCACCTTCAAGGCCTCGTTCTTTGCAATTTCGAAACCATCCGTGATAATTCTAGGGTGCAGTCCTTCCGAGATGTAGCGATCCGCCTGCTTCAGAAGCTCACCGATCAACAAAACAGCCGACGTCGTACCATCACCACAGATATCGTCCTGGGCAGTCGCAGCTCGCGCAATCATGACGGCGGTGGGGTTCTGTATTTGCATCTCCCTGAGGAGAACGTTTCCATCTTTTGTCAACTTGATCTGTTCGGCGCGCATTAGCAGCGGTCCAGGGGTAGGGAGGGGCGGTATGTCGCACTTGGCCGGAACCGTCAACAAGCCTGGGAGATATTAGCAAACATTATAGCAATGAGTAAAGATTATTTGGTGTCGTACATCTTTATGGTGCCCAGAGGGCCGAGGTTGGACTTGAGGACATCCTGCAGGCCTTCACCAGCACTGATGTTGACCTTCAGGGCTTCACCCCGCCGCTACTTGGCTGATTAGCAACACAAACAAGGCCCGGCAGAAAAAGGGCAATGCGCACCCTGGATTCGGCCTTAGGGTTGAGCAGTTGGGCCGCAGACATGATGGCTGGAGGTCGTCGAGAGGCTCGTGAAGGGGGTATCGATTGGTGAGGTTATTGGATTAGCGACCTGACGTGGAGTGTTCTCGAGGGTTGACCTGGCCTGGTCCGGGGAGCTTCAGATGCGGGACTCTGGTGGTGACTTTTTTTCTGCCTGGAGGTGGCAGGCGGTCAGCTAGCGGTGGAAGGTGCTGGCTCGGTGCCTGAGTGCTTTCTCGTTGGCGCGACTTCTTCTTAGCTGCATATGCCCAATCTACCTTTGAGGGATATGCATCTAAAGGAGTCTACATGTGTCAGCAGATACTGACGGCATGTCCTATGGTCTGTGCGTCGTTAGTGGGCGGCCGATAGCTACTGCAGCACGGCAGGCGGGAGCAGGGACTTTGGGGGTCTTGGGGTACCACCCGAGTGAAACCTCTACTCTCTCTACCACTAAGCTATAAGCCGCTGCTTTATCAGGAGCTTGGAAGAGCTTCATCGCCGGGACAGTCTTTCTCAGAGCCACAGCTGTATCAAACCTTTGCCGATAAGTTTGTCTGGAGCATCGTCGGTGAAGGGCAACTTACGAATTATTCAGTATTTTTCACGGAAAGATGCCCCATATCGACCTCCGCTTCCCCTGAACACGCATCACCCCGGTCCGGCAGGGAGCAGAGCCACAGGAGTAACACCAATAAAGCGGCGGTTTGTTTACTCACCCAGAGTTTAATTCATTTGGGGGACCTCCCGGGCAGTACGAATTACGAATCTCATTCATGCTCCCCCTTTCATCCTCTTCATCCCCCAAAAACATGTATTGAGATCTCGCATCTATCTCTCTTCAATTCTTCATCACTCTTTGCTCTTGCCGTTGCATATAATCCTTCTAAAGCTTGAGATTGACTGATAATCCAACAATACATCATGTGGGGGTCCAAGCTCTCAGCTGTGCTCTCCGCGCTCAGCTTGACGGGAACTGGCGTGCCCGCGACCGAGACAGAGGTCGAGATTGTCGCCTTTGACAGCAGTGTCAAGCAAGTCGCCATTATTGGTTCGTAGGCACCGCCGGCCTCAACAGTATTTGAATTATTTGTAAAATGTAGCGACTAATCCTCCTCCAGGAGCTGGCGCGGGTGGCTCTGCTGCCGCTTACTACCTGCAACAGTATGCCGAGGCAGACGGCATTGAAGTGAACATCACCGTGTTTGAGAAGACCAACCACATCGGCGGTCGGACTTTGACGGTTGAAGCTTACGATAACCCGCTTGAGCAAGTCGAGCTGGGCGCGTCCATCTTCATCGAGGCTAACCAGATTCTCTACAACGCTAGCAGACGGTTCGGCCTTCCCCTCAAGGAGCCCGAGTCCGGCAGCGACGGCTTCCTGGGCATTTGGGATGGCGAGCAGTTTGTGTACACCCAGGACGACAGCTCCTGGCAGTGGTGGAACCTAGCCAAGCTCTTTTGGAAGTACGGCTTGGCTCCCTACAAGGCGCAGAAGCTCGTCCAGTCTACCGTTGATACCTTCCTGCAATTGTATGAGGCGCCTCACTTCCCGTTCCGCTCTCTGACCCAAAGGGCGTTTGAGCTGGACCTTCTGAAGGCGACTTCGGTTACTGGAAAGGAGTTCCTCGCCAACAATGATGTAAGTCATCACACGCGTCAGACTAGATCGCTCGCTCACCTGATGTAGATTGGCGAGCTGTTCTCTGACCACATCATCCAAGCTGCAACTCGCGTCAACTATGCTTCCAACCTGAAGTACATCCATGGTCTGGAGACCATGGTATCCATGGCGCCTGAGGGCGCCAAGCAAGTCATTGGCGGCAACTGGCAAATCTTCGACACCATGCTGCAGAAGACTAACGCGACTGTGAACCGCAACACTACCATAACCTCCATGGAGGTCAAGACTGGCCCTACAAGCTCCAAGTACTTCATTTCGGCCAAGGACTCTCACGCAGATGCCGCTGCCGAGGCGGATCAGTACCCCGTCGCCTTCGACAACGTCGTCATTGCCACCCCTTGGCAATACAGCGACATCAGCGTTGCGGAGGACTTGTTCCAACACAAAATCGACGAGATCCCTTACGTCAAGCTCCACGTCACGCTCTTCGCCTCTCCGTTCCGTCTGTCGCCCGAGTACTTTGGCATGGAGCCCGGGTCCAAGGCGCCCGACACGGTCCTCACGACTCTCAACCCTGCCGACGAGGCCAAGGCCGGAGCTGACGGTGCCGGCAAGGCCGGCTTCTACTCCATCAGCACCCTGAGGACAGCCACGAACCCGGAAACCCTCATGGACGAGTTCATTTACAAGATCTTCTCTCCTAAGCAGGTCACCGCCGAGTTCCTCTCGCAGCTTCTCGGAGTAAAGGTCCCCGAAACCATCGTCTCCAAGGACAAGACCCAGGCCGTTGACCCCATTTCGTGGTACCACCCTCACGTCTTCCACTCCTACCCCATCGAGTATCCCCGCGTCACCTTCCAGGACCCCATCCTGAGAGACGGTCTGTACTACCTCTCCGGCATGGAGAGCTTCATCTCTTGCATGGAGACCAGCGCGCTCATGGGCAAGAATATTGCCAAGCTAATTGCGGAGGACTTTGCCGTCTCTACTGAGGCTGTCAAGGAGGAGGCGGTTATGATTGAGAAGGTGGAGGAGGGTGCCCAGGAGGTGATTGAGCAAACGGAGAAGGAGCCGGTTGTCGCTGACGAGCTATAGGCTGTCTTTACTATGGGCTGGGGCGCAAATGGTCATGGTTTCGTTCATTACAGCGCTCGTTTCAAATGAATTACCACTGTAAGATTGATTTCTCATTTTGAACAACTGCTGTTGGATCATTCTTTTTTGTTGGTTTTAAGTGATGAGCCCCACCATGTTATAGTATGAAGACGTGTGTTGAGGTGTAACATGCGCAAATGCACTTCCAGGAAAGAGGATTGATAATTCCACGGCTCATGTATGATAACTCATATTGGTGAGGAACACCATGGAAAGGACGTGGCGAGCTTCAACCTTCTCTAAGCCTCAATTCACAATCAAAATGTTACTTTGACAGAGACGCCCGACATCAGTAAGTGGTTGGTTTTCAGCTTCCCGAACCACTCGGATGATGAAGTGTTTTTTGGAAACAAACAAACAAAATGGCTTAGTCAGAGTTTGAGAACCTAAATGAGTGCATCCAACGGCTGAGATACCCCCAACTCAAACAAAAAGTGAGCTGATATTCTGTAGGTCGAAGCTCCCGGAACGTCACATCTCGATTTTCAGGTCGCTAGGGATCAACCTTCAAGACATGGCTGAATGATAACTGCGTTATCAATTATCAGAGAGCCGGGAAACGGTATCTTACTCAGCAAAAAGAAGAATATACTTCGTGCACCTGCTGCAAGTAGGTACAAGATCCAAGTTTCTTGCAGTCTGCAGCAGACAGCAGACGGGAGGGAACCCGGGCGGCGGGAAGGTGCTGCTGTCACTCACGGCTTGCGCCGGTAGGTACCTACCTTCCAAGGTGCTGTTGGGCCCAGGCCCAGACCAAGCAGGACTACCCACCCCCGGCATCCAAGGGTCCCCGCCGCTGTGGCTGACGTATCCGCAGGTTGCCGTGGCGAGAAAAATTGGAGGAAAACAGAGGGGCGGGCACCGCCACAGGCCACCTTTGACCCCTCGTCCCCTCCATCAGCAGCAGCAGCACCAGCAGCTACGACCGTGACCCGAAAACCCAGGAAAGCTACCTTTTTGTTATGACGCATTTCCTTCCCGGTCGTACCTTTAGTGCCTGATCTGTCTCTCTCTGTTCATTTCGTGGCCAAGGCCTGGCATTTTCCGCTCTCTCCTCCTCTTTCTCATTCCACGCCGACGGGAATCATTTGCTTTTGCGAAGATCATAAATACAAGCAACTGCGCCCGCGACTGATTCCCTTCTTAAACCGAGCCCCTCCTCCCCTCTCGAGCTCTCAAAATGTTTGTCCTCAGAAACGGTAAGTTTACCCCGCCACCCACCTGTTGCTAACGGTCTGTTCTGCCACTCTGTTTGCTCTTGTCCCGCGACCGCAAATTCCATGTGAGATTTGTTGGTTGGGCCTGTTCGTCATCACCGTTTGCGACCAACAGGTTGGCCGACATTTTCCACTTTTCCTTCTATTTGCGACATCTGCACTACACACACACACACTTCATACGACATTTTCGCTAATACACCTCGTTCAACAGTGGGCAAGCTCATCTTCGGATCCAGTAACCAAGAGTCTTTGATCGAACTCCCCCAAGGACAACTCTACCTCGTCCGCCCACTCTCGCCCAAGGGCTACTCCGAACTCATCTTCAAGGACGCCGCCGCCCGTATCCGACGCACCGCACAGGACTTCCAGTACCAGCTCGTCATCCAGAGAGTCTACGAGGAAGGCGAGGCTGAGCTTCTGGCCGAAGAGGAAGGAGAAGACGCCGAGATCGATGCACTTGCCGCTGCCGAGAGAGACGAGAAGACCTTCCTGCTCGACGAGGCACTCCACTTCCGAGTCGACTTTCGTGACGGCAGTGACAAGATCCTTGCCTGGCGTGATCTGAGCGGTGACACCGGCGACGTCTACGAGTTTGTTTGCGATAACGTCGTCTCTCCCGGCCAAGTCTCCCAGTTCGACCGCATCGCGAAGGAGTGCCAATACGAACGCAAGTACCGCAAGCCACACACTACCGCTTCCGACGCCGACCTCGACCAGTTCGAGTTCGAGGAGGAGCATCCCATTCCTCCTGCGAGCCCTATTCACAGCCCGACGCTGACACGCTCGATCGACTCTTCCGACGGCTTGTTTGTGCCCCAGACCCCGCCCCAGGCCGCAAACACCTCCGCCGAACAAGAGCAAACGCCCGTCAAGACGCCTACCATGCCTAAGAAGAAGGACACGGCTCCGCCCAAGTCTGCCGAGGCTCCTGAGGCCCTCAGCACTTATGCTGCCGAGAAGGCGGAGTTGCACTTCTTCGACTTCCCCTCCGGCTCGTTTGTTCAGCAAGATGCCGCTGTCACTGCCACTGTCACGGAGGTCGGCAAGTGGGAGTACTGGCTGCAGGTCGAGAGCGAGGACCGCGCGTGGCTCGGCATTCCCATTGTAGCCGATATCAACCCCGTCTTCAACTTCGAATTTCTGTCCTTCATTTTCAACCAGTTCTCCCCTGATGGTTCGGCTTACTCTTGGCTTCTTCGGTTCAAAGACCAGCCGACTTTGGAGCGGTTCCAAGACGCTCTCCTCCGTGCCTTGTGGGAGCAATTGAACGAGACCAAGTGGGAGAAGATTAAGGAGAGGGAGCAGGAGTACATCACGGATGCGTTCAACGACCTAACGATGGAAGATACCCCCGAGGAAGAAGAGGAGGAGGAAGAGGATTACGAAGACGCCGAGGATGATGCCCAGCGCAGCGAGCACTACGATAGCGACGAAGAGGAGGATGACGTCGCTACCAAGGACGAGGATGGCAACGTTAACTCACAGCTTGCTGTTGGCTACAAGCACGACCGATCATTTGTCGTGCGCGGATCCAAGATCGGTGTTTTCAAGCACACGCCTAACAACAACCTTGAATTCTCGACCAATATCTCCAAGGTCGAGACGCCGAAGGGCACACTGTTCAGTCCCAAGAAGGTCATGCTTCACAACGAGGACCGTAACATGATTTTGCAGAATGAGACGGACCCCAATAAGCTTTACCGCATGGACCTGGAGTACGGCAAGGTCGTCGACGAATGGAACGTTCACGAGGACATTCCCGTCTTGAACTTCGCGCCAGAGAACAAGTACGCCCAAATGACGCACGAGCCCACCTTCCTGGGTATCTCCAAGAACGCCCTCTACCGTGTCGATCCCCGTCTGTCCGGCACCAAGCTTGTCGACTCCCAGCTCAAGCAGTACGCCTCCAAGAACGACTTCTCCGCCATCTCCACGACAGAGAAGGGCTACATCGCCGTTGCGTCCAACAAGGGAGACGTCCGCCTGTTCGATCGCCTGGGCATCAACGCCAAGACGCACATCCCCGCCCTCGGTGAGGCCATCATCGGCCTCGACGTCTCCGCCGACGGTCGCTGGATTCTTGCCACCTGCAGGACCTACATCCTCTTGATCGACGCCATGCAGAAGTCAGGCAAGAATGAGGGCAAGCTCGGCTTTGAGAAGTCCTTTGCTGCCGACTCCAAGCCTCAGCCGCGCCGTCTCGCTCTTACGCCTGAGCACGTAGCCCAGTTCGCTCACGAGACCGGAAAGCCCGTCTCCTTCACCCCCGCGCGCTTTAACACAGGCACGGACGCAGAGGAGAAGAGCATCATCACGGCCACGGGACCGTACATTGTCGAGTGGAACCTCAAGAAGGTCCTCCGTGGCGCCAAGGCGCCCTACCTCATCAAGCGCTACGCTGAGGAGGTCAAGGCCGACGACTTCAAATTCGGCTCCGACAAGAACGTCATCGTCGCCTTGCCCAACGAGGTCAACATGGTCGGCAAGCAAGGCCTCAAGCGCCCCACGCGCGAGAGCATCGCCGGCCCCGGATGGGCCAGGCTGAGCATGGGCGGAGGACGCAGCAGAGACTCGGGCCGCATCGGAACCCCGCAGAGCAGCCGGTACAAGCTGGGCAAGGATGACATCGTCGACTCGCCTTACTGATTTCCCTCGGACCTTGTGTGTGTATACACACACTCTGCGTTGTTTCTCAGACTTGCGTACGCATTGATGTTGGAACGTCTCTTTTTCACGACGACGGGCGTTTTCCCTGGAAATGGATTTACAGCACCACCAACCCCCTTTCAAGGCACGGATGTGTTTCTTTTTTTTGCTACCATTCAAATGCAGCCCTTTCGCTTGCTTCTATTCTTTGTGTCTCTCTCGAGTGCTCACATGAGAGAGTCACTTTACCCCTTTAGATACCTCTTGACATCAGAACAAATTCAATTACATGAAACAATCCCCTGCTTAGTGTCGTTGTTATGTAATGTGCTCATGGTGATTGCTGTGGTTTCATGCAAATTGTCTGTACTGACGTCATGGGGTTTAGGAGGCGTGGTCTCACGGCAACACTTGAGCTGCATCGGTTAAAACCGTTCCTTCAGTAGGTAGAAAGTCTAATGCTAAACCAACATAAACTCGAAAATACGAATGGGACAAGAGAGATATTGTTCCTGTGTTGTCTGACACTCCCCAATACCCTCTCCTTCCCACGATAGCATGAGAGGAAAGATCCCGTAAAAAAAAACTCCGCTTGGCTCGATGCCCTCTGCCCAACCTGTCGTTAACTGGTGATTTCGCCTCGCTCATGTGCTACCATTTCCCAAACAGCTATGCTTCGGCGTGAGGAGTATTTGCTGGGTGTGTGTGTGGTTTGCGAGGTTGGGGTATGTATGTGTTTCTTCTTTTTCTTCATCATGCTTTCGTCAAATGTGCCGCCTATAGCGGCCCGTTACGCTTCATGCTTCTCCTGCTTGCTCTCCTCGCCATCCTTGACTGTTAGGTTCTGGACGCCCTCGACGGCGCTTTGTAAAGCCTTGCTGACCTGACCGACGACGTTGCCGCTGATGTTTCTCAGAGTCTTCTGTTGGGTCGTTTCCTGAGATAGGCGGGTCATTTCGGCGACGAAGGACTGGCCCCACCACGACGAGGTGTACTTGAAGACGTAGCGCTCGAGCTTGCGGAAGTTCGTCTCGCGCTGCTCGGGAGACATGGTGACAGCGTCGTGTATGGCGTTTGCGAGCTCTTCCGTGTTCCAGGGGTTCACGATGAGGGAACCGTTAAGGGATTGGGCTGCTCCAGTGAATTCGGAGAGAATCATGACACCGTGACGTTCGCGCTGAGTCGCAATGTATTCGTACGAGACCAGGTTCATGCCGTCGCGCGTTGAAGAGACGAGGCAGACATCTGAGACAGCGTACAGAGCGGTGAGCTCGTCGAAGGAGACGCTCTGGTGAAGGAAGTGGATGGGCATAAACTCGATTGTGCCAAACTTTCCGTTGATCCGACCCACCAACTCGTTGACGACAGCGCGGAGGTTCTGGTATTCTTCGACATCCTGACGGGAGGGCACGGCAACCTGGACGAGAACGATCTTGCCAATCCATTCGGGGTGTTCTGTCAGGAAGACCTCGAGTGCGTGGAGCTTCTGGGGAACGCCCTTGATGTAGTCAAGACGATCAACACCGACGATGAGCTTGACGCCGTTAAACTTGCGCTTGAGCGCATCGATGCGCTCCTGGACCTTTGGCTTCTTGAGACCTTCAACGAACTTCTCGGGATCAATACCAATGGGGAATGCGCCGACGGTGACGAATTTGCCGTTGTAGTCGACGCCATTAGGGGTTGTTGGGGTTCCGCTGAAAAATGTTAGTCGCAATACTTTGCTGTAAGTCCCAGGTGTGAACCTACAGGATGCGAGAGCAACTGCTCAAGAAATGGCGAGCGTAGTCGTATGTGTGGAATCCGATGAGATCACAGTCAAGAACACCCGTCAAGAGCGCCTCGCGGACGGGGAGGATGCGGTAGATCTCGGAAGATGGGAAGGGGGTGTGCAAGAAGAAGCCAATCTTGACGTTCTTCTTGGAGTCGCCAATCTCCTCGCGCAGCATCTCGGGAAGGAGCATGAGGTGGTAGTCGTGGACCCAAATCAGGTCGCCATCCTGAACATCGTTCACAACGGCTTTGGCAAACAGGCGGTTGACTTCGCGGTAGGCGCTCCATGCACTCTCGTCGAATGTGATTTCACCGGGGTGGTAGTGGAAGAGGGGCCAGAGGATGGAGTCTGAAGAGCGAATTGTCAGTTTCACTGTTGCAGAAGGCAGATTCGGGAGGATTGTCCGCACTGGAGAAGCCGTTGTAATGCTTGTCGGCAAGCTCATCGTCAATGAAGACGGGGTGGGCATCGTATTCGTCCTTGAGACGCTGCTTCATGCCGGCGATCTCGTTTTCGGGAACCTCGAGGCCCGGCCAGCCGTACCATTGGAAGCTTGTGGTTTTTGACAGTCCACTGAGACCGGTGACGAGACCACCAGAGGACATGGAGAAGGAATAGCTGCCATCGTCGGAGCGCTTGATGGTGATGGGTAATCGGTTGGAGAGGAGCAAGAGGCGCCCGGGGGCGGTGTCATCGTCGACGAGCGCAGGCATGGTGGGAATGGGTTGCCCGGCGGTGCGTTTGAGTTGAAAGGTGGGAAGGGAAGAAAATCGTGGGTTCCTTCGTTCGGGTGGGAATTTGGGGAGCAGCAGCAGCTAGCTTAGTGGTCCTGTGGCGGTGGGAAAGGTGTTAGCTGAGTCGTTGTCAGGCTGGGATGAGCTTGCGGGGGAATGGAGGGGTAAATGTAGGTTCGGCTGGTGTCCTGCACTATGAGGTACCTGATGTGCAAGCGACGCAATAAGGAGCCAGGGTGTTTGTCGCTGTAATCCAAAAGCGATGGGATTGTGAGCCAGGGATAGATGCAAGCTTACCTACCTAGCTTTGTTGCTGGTGGGGAGCTGTTTTTTTGGGGGTGGTTCGCTTGCTCAAGCCGGAGCCGTGAATGAAGCAAGCAAGCAAGCAGCGGGAGGAGACAGCGGTATGTAGATGGAGAGAACAACAGTGATCGGGCTGCCCGAATCACAGGAGAACACCGAGTGCGTGGAGGGTGACACAAGCCAGCACAACAAGTGCGATACAGCGTGGTGGAGGTCTTCGTCTGGGAGGAAAGGAAAAGAAGAAAAAAGTAGCTTGGGATGGATGGCTGGATGGAAAGAGGCGGAACAGGGCGGTTAGTTGATGGTTGGCTAACGTGCTTTCCTAACGTCGAATTACCCGTTTGTTGACTGAAGTGACGGAGCTTCGTTCTGGCTGGGCCGAGCCAGGGTGACAGTAGAAGAAAACGGGAGGTGCGAGGTGTGCGGTGAGAGGTGACAAAGTGCGTTGGGTTTTGAGGGTGTTGAAGAGGAGGGACGGGAGGCAAGGACAACGGGTAATCAGACAGGGCAGCTGCTGCTCCCCGGAAGTAGAGGTACCTACTTGCTTCGTGTGATTTGCTGGGCAGGTTGGGCAAATACATGAAAAGCTACCTTCATAGGTAAAGTACGTCGGCGAGACTCTCAGAGGGATGTTTTACGCGGCCAAACTGCAGATTAGCTTACCTGTATCTAAAGTTGTTGACCAACTGACCTGGGGCCTGGCGTTACTGAGGTGCCATCTACGTAATTTTGGCGTGGACCCATGTCGTGTTAGTCCTGGGGCCAAATTCCGGTCTGTCACTGCTTCCCACGTCTCTGTCATTTTTTATGCTGATTTAATCGCAGCCCGTTCTGGACCCCTCCAGTCATTCCGTCCTCCTCCGGCATATGCATCTGCTCTCTTTGGCCACCTTGAGATACCCATTTGCTCGTCTTACCGAGGAGGTTACCGGACAATTAGGGAATCACGCCGAGCTCATGGTGAGCGATATAAATCTGCAGGGCCGTTGAGCCGGATCTCCTCAGCTGCCCGACTGCAACGACCCAGAAAAGGCCCATTGCCTCGAGAGGGAGAGTGAATAAATCAGGTACCGGTACCTCCAGGACCTTGACGATACCCGCTCGACGGTGGAGAGGCCGGCGCCGAGGAAGTGGGCACCACATCGGCGATAGAACACAGAATGTTCACGATGCCTCTGAATTTTTCCTTCCATCCACTGCGCCAACGACTGGAAATCTTCAACAAGGGAGCCTCATGTCTGACAGGTGAACCCTGACCTGTCGGGCCCCCCAAACATAACGCAAGCGTGCCGTCATCTGTGAACCGTAGTCCGCATCCAAGGAAACGGCTCCAGCCAGAAAGGTGTTACCAGGTTGATACAAGTTGCTGAGGCCCTCAAAAGGAGCTTCCGCCCCGGCAGCTGAGCGACCTTTCAACGTTCAACCCGTCTTGCTGGCCAATTGCGGGCGCCAGAAGCCCAAAGAGCGCTCCAACCCAATCATTCAGCCCACAAGGTCTCCGTTGGGCGACCGCAGGCTGGCATCGAAGGGCCCATTTTCTCCCCGGGAATCCGGACCAAAACTTCCTTGAGCGGGCTGCTTTAGTTCCCGGCCCGAATTGACCCTCGCACCGGTCATGGTTGTGCCGATTTTCTTCGTTGGTAGATTCTAGTTCCTTACAGTTCCTCATAATCTAACCAGATGGATATTCTCAGGTGATTTCAATTGATCATCTCCTACTGCTTGTATTCTTTCAAGCCAACCTGATGGCGCATCGCTTGGTTCACTGTCCTTGAAAACAAGCATAAGGCATGTAACAGTATATTTTCACTTTATGGGGGCACTGAAGATGGATTATATCAAGAGTGCATGTCATAATGCTGGAAGCGCTCAAGGTTTCCTCCATGACTTGGACTCATTCCCTTCGCTGCTTCCAGAGCTTCAGGTACGTAGCGAGAAGCTCAGACCAATGCCGGGTGACTTGAGCCCCACTTCGGTCCAAGCCAGTCGCAGCTGCTCCCCGGTTTCAATTGAGATGCGGGCAAGCGCGCCGGCTTTGTTTCTCTGCGACGCGACGACAACCGCGAAGAGCTGCTCGAGCTCTGCCGGAACACGTGTATCAACCCACGTTCATTAATCCAGTACCTGTGCGCTTCTCTGTTCGAACAAAAGGGATATTTTTCGTTGCTTATCCCTGTCACGCGAGGCCA